TTTTCCAAATACGATGATTTTTCTTCTTTCTAGTTCAGTAAAGCCAACTTAATACACATTGACATATCCACCTGCACTCTCTCAAATCACTAGATGTGACAGAAAAGGTGGGATCTGATACAAAGAGGAAACCAGAGGCCAACATCTATCCAAGAGAGGAAGACACACTGGAAACTGGTCAGGATGGCACCAAGGCAACCATTAGGGAGGTTAATTGGTAGCTATCTCCTCCAGCCCACAGCCCTGAATTAGCACCAGGCATGGCCAAGCAGACATCTTCTTGGGAAGTATTACAATTTCAAAAATACATGTTTCTCAGAACCAATGAAATATAGTCCTATAGACGTTACACTAGTAAATCTGCAAGCAAGAAGATGACAAAAAGCCTTAAAGCTAAGAGAGAAAATTATTTTTAATATCCTCTAGTTAACTGATTATTCACATGAAATTTTTTGTCAGGCAGAAAAAGACCTGGAGAATTTATAGAAATTTTTTAAAGGATTATAAGGCAAAGCAAAACAAAAAATAACTGAGTGAAAGGGAGATCAAGAGTGAACGATATGTCAAGTAATGTGTTCTTATGAGCCATCGAGTCGCTTGTGTCTCATAGCGACCCTATGTATAAGAGCTCTAAACGTCATTCTATTCTGTGCCAACCTCACTGTCTGACACACCTACTCCCACCACCCCAATCACTGAATCAATCCACCTCAATGAAGTTCTTCCTCTCCTGCCCTGTCTACTCTCCCAAACATGATCCCTCTCCAAGGACCCTCCTTACAACATGCCCAAAGTATGTCAGACGAAGCTTCAGAATCCTTGACTCCAAGGAGCATTCCGGCTTCACCCTGCTAGGACAAACCTGTTTGTTCTCTTAGGAGTCTATGGTATATTCAACACTCTTCTCCAGCACCACAGCTCAAAGTCATCAATTCTCTATCATCCCTATTCACCATCCAACTCTCCGATGCATAGCATGCAACTGCAAAGACGACAGCCCGGACCAGAGGCACTTTAGTCTCCAGCCTGATGGCTTTCCCATGCAATTCGTCTCTTCGATTTCCTGGCTGCTGATATCAAGAGTGTTGACTGTGGAGCCAAGCAAACTAAAACTGTTAACTATCTCAATCTCTTCACCATCCATACTGATGCTGCCAAATGGCCCAGTGGTAAGAATCTTTGTTTTCCTGATAGTGAGCTTCAACAGTTACATAACATTGAGAATGTATGACAAACAGAAAACCACAAGCAAACCAACCATCTATGACTAAAAGAGAAGTAAAAGTGAACTGCGATTCTTATTTACAGAGAAAAAAGAGTAATATGGGTTCTGATGCAATCTAAGCATTACAGATGGACACTGAATAAGGAGAAACAATTTACAGGCCTTCCAAACCACTCAGGAAGAAGAGGTACAGATAAATGGAACACAATGGGAAACTACGAGGGAAAGAAGTAAAGAATAAGGCAAACAAATAATACAAAATAAGGTAGCACAATTAACTCCAAACATTTCGGTAATTAAATTCACCTTTTAAAAGACAGACTCTCATATCAGACACAAAATGTGGCTCTATAAAACAAAACAGAGAAAGCAGCAACAGAAAGACAAAAAGAGAATTCAAGACAATAAGCATCAATTAAGTACAGTTTCACACTGATAAGTTATAACCCACCAAGTAGAACAAATTATAAATTTTTCTGTATCTTGTTTGACAGTAATATACATAAAACAAATTGATTCTAAAATTAACAAAATCAGGTAGAAGTAGAAGTAGAAACCAATCAGGGATGTTCAACACAAAAATAAGACTATAATGTTCTAAAATAGGCATTAAAAACCAAATCACCAAAAGGAAAGACAGATCTAACCACTTTGAATTAAAAAATAACCCCCCTAAAAAAAAAAAAGGAATCCCCATTTTGGGGCTAAACAAAAACTTTAGCAGGGCACAACAATGACATCTGAACAAAGCCCTGAGATCAAGCCCAGAAACTACAGTCAAGGGCAACACAGTGTTGCTGCTGTCAGGTGCCTTCAAGGGGGCACCGACCCACCGCTGACCCCGCACTGTGTTTTCAGAGGCAGTAAACCGCATAGGAGACTGCCCATCTGTCCCCTGTGGAGCAACTGGTAGGTTCAAACAGGAGGCTTTTGCGACTGCAGCACAGCTTCTGGCAATGAATTTTTTAAAAATGAAGACAAAGTAATTTTTTTAATTCCTGAAAAAAGGAAGAAAACCTCAAAGATCCTAGAATAGAAAAAGGAAAGAGAAGGAAAAGGATATAAAAACCAAACCCTAATGCATGGCTTTCCAGCCAATTCCCACTCATGGTGTCCCTAAAGACTGTTGTTAGGTGCCGTCGAGTCACAGGGGACTCATAGCGACCCTATGAACGAAAGCCCTCACCCCTTGCCTGACTTTCATCCTTTCATCCTCTTTCCAGGTCCACAGGGTTTCTGGAGGCAAGCTATTATGGAAGTGGATGCCACTTCTGCTTCCAAGCTTGTTTTAATCGGGGAGCTCCACCCAACACTGTCTGCCATGGGTAACCATTATCACATTTGACACATCAGTGTCACAGTGTTCAGCTTCACAGAAACCACAAGTTACCACTGTACGGCAAGTGGACACACCAGGGCTATATGACCTAGAAGAATATTTGAACAAAAACAATGGAAAAACAGGCTTGAGGGCCACAGACAGAAGCAAAACCATCTCACAGCGTTTTCAAGATAGAGGAGACAAAAAGTACAGTTTGTAGGAAAAATTTTAAATAGATTCTTCTAAAAGAATAATAAATTAGATGATTCCCAAGCTAAGTCTCAATTTTAAGACCAGTATACTACAAAGCCCTTATTCATAAAACAAAACCAAAGTTATTTTCACTGGTAACATCTGGCAATTTTGTAAAATGACAGATTTCAGTGCTTATTCATTTGGCTGAGCATTTGTGAAAAACCACTGATTTTGGCCTTGAATATGAATAGTATATTAACATAAAGATAGCTGTGCACTGGTTAAAAAAGTTCTCTATTTCAATCACACAATTACACAAGACGAACTAAAATAAATACAAATGAGGAAAATGAAAGTTCTCCATGAACTCGATCCAATACTACCTTATAACAGAAGGCAATCATTTATCAGATCAGCATGAATACTTCCAGACAATTTTCTCTTCCATTTTTATAGCTTCCAAAGATTTACAATAAATTTGTGTTTATATAACTTTTCAAGTTTTACAATAAACTTTTCAAAAGTTACACAAAATTAAAGATATATATAAAAAGAAGGAATACAGCAAACACTTGTGTACCCAACACCCAATTTAAACTACCACCATTAGCCTGAAACTGCCTAAAATGCTTGCTTCTCTGAAGTTTTCTTCCCCTCATGGATCCGTAAACAAGACATATTCTTGCTCTGTATGTTTTAAACATACACACACTTTTAGCCAACTTTTTTTCCCCTTAAACATTAGATCTGCAAAAATTAAGTCTGTCAAGATACATAGTTTAAGGTCATTCATTCTCGCTAATGTGCAGAATTCTGAGTATCAAACAAATCCCCTGTTGATGATTTTCCACCATGCTATTAAAAAGATTCTTTGAAAATACCTTATATACATGAGACTTTCTCTAGAGTGCATACAGAATTAACTGCTGGGGCGTACAGATTAGCTGCAAGGTTATAGAGTGACATATTTACTGCATCTAACCAAACTGTCCTCTACATAATACATCTTCTTGATGATCTTAAGTCTTGTCAACACTTGGTTTTGTCTGTCTTTTGTTTTCGCTAATGTGAACAGTATAAAATAGTATTGTATTGTGGTTTTATTTTGCCTTTCCTGATTACCGATGAGAATGAACATCTTTTTCACATGCAGACATTTGTATTTCTTCTTCAGTAAACTGCTGGTTTTTCTCAGTTACTCTACTATCAAAAATCTATCACTCAAATATTGTAACGAAAAGCTTCAGGGAAGCTTGATTATCTATAATGGACAGGAACCAATTATTAACCCTTTGTTTTCCAGAACATACAGCTTGAAAAGTAGTGTCCTGATGCAAGAGACTTTCATATAATGCGGGCAGTCTTTGGTATCCTGTATTTCAAATGATCAGCATGCAAATGAAAGTCTCCTTATTTATAAAGTTTGACATCATGCGCTTTTAATATTAGAGCCTATTTTTCTTCTGTTAAAAAATCTGACCATATCCTCAAATTAACAAAGACTTAAAAACTAAAATATACTCTACAGACTTTCAAGGAGACAAAGCTAATATTGCTGACAAGTAGTAAACATCTCCATCATGACCAGGTAACTCTTGACAAGTGAGTGAAAGGACAAAAGTGTGCTGGGAGCAGAGGAAGGGGGGTGGGGCTGCCTACGGCCACCATTATTCAAGAGTCTACCACATCGCAGTCACTCAAATGTCAGTTTCCTGTTTTGTACAATAAGACTGAAGATAGCAATCACATGGGTCCCAGTGAAAAAGCAAATGCGCATTTAGGAATGTGATACCTGTGTCATATTTAATTTTATTTTAATAACAAATAAAGCTGAGAGAGTTCAAGTACCCTGCTCAATGTCACAGTTAGGAAAGGGTTCCGAGCCCAAACTTCACACGGTACTCAAGTATTCACCATATCTCTCCAATGTGGGTCTCAAAAAATTGTTGACAGATTCACAGGAAGGGGAATAGCTAGAAACAGGCACTTCCAAAAGTATCTAAGAAGTACTCAGACCTTAAAAAAAATGTAACGAGCAGATGAAGGGGTACCCTAAATGATAATTTACTCATACTCTTTTGTGGTGACAAATGAACTTTTTTGATACTTGCCATCTAAAGGCTGAAGAACAACAACTACTAGCTTTAGGGCTGTGAAGTTACTAAATTCTCTGAGGGGTTATTTCTGAAGAAGCAGTCACACCAACTGAACTCCAGCTGGCAGAGCTCAAGCAGGCAAGTAATGGCAAGGGTTACTTACCTACTGCTGGGGCGTCATACTCATCACCGAGCAGGATTTCTGGAGCAGAGTACGCAAGAGATCCACAACTTGTGGTAAGCTTCTTTCCCGGCTGAAATTTGTTGCTGAAACCAAAGTCTGTCAACTTCACAAGACCTTGTTTTTCAAAGAAGACCACATTCTCTGGCTTTAAGTCTCTGTGAACTACGTGGAGTTTATGGCAATAAGATATTGCATGAACTATCTGCGCAAAGTATTTCTTGGCCAAGTCTTCATTCAGACCCTCCTCGTGTTTCATTATGTAGTCAAACATGTCGCCACCATCCCCGAGTTCTAGAATAAGATAGAGTTTGGTCTGGGTATCAATGACTTCATAAAGGCGTACAATGTTAGGATGCTGCACTAGTTTCATGCATCTCACTTCCTGGAAGAGATGCCCAGTGGCTAGAGTGTCCAGTTTTGTCTTGTCAATGACTTTAACTGCCACCTTTTCACCTGTGAAAACGTGCCTGGCAAGTTTAACCACAGCAAAATGACCTCGACCCAAGGTTTTATCCAGATCATATAAGCCAGCAATCTTTCCATCATATCCTCGCTTGAACCCTGCCATGCTGGTCCAACAGAAGAAGCAATATTCAGACTTCTTGAAATGGATCTTCTCATATAAGGATATCTGATGACAATAAAGAATTCATTTTCAGGGTCACCGTAGGCATCTAAAAAAAAAAAAAAACCCAACCAGAATTAACAGTTCTGTAACTTTCCCTTTCTTTGCACACTTTAAAAAGGCTTTATTTTAAAGAAGCTTGGAGGTATATAGATTGAGCTAGGGTCACTTATGAGCATGTCTTTCCAAATTTAGGGTGCTTTGTACAGACTAAGAATTTTAAATGTCAAAATTCTCCAAAACTAAAAATTAATTCTGCCATTATAAACACCTTTTTTTTTTTTTTTACAGATGTCAGAAATAAGAACCGGAAAGTTTGATAAGCTTTGTTTAAAAAGCAAACAATTTTCAGAAATAACATCAATAAGTGACTTAATAAACAAAGCAAGATTTGGCAAGAAAGAGAAAACAAAGAATAAACATTAGGAGAAAAGCCAAACCACCTTTTCCTGTTATCCCAAGGCTAGTACTATTTCCTAGAAAAGTACATTATCTCCCTCAGTGAAGCCTTCTAGAACTTTCCCAGCTGAGGTCTACCACCCTTCTGTATCCCTTTCTCCACGGCCCTCTAGCACACTCTCATTCTATAAAGATTTATTCCACAGAGATTTGGATGCACCATCTACATCCTAAGACTGGAATGCTCTTGAGAAGTTTCTATTTTAATTTGCTTTTCTATCATCCACCCAATACCTTCATGTATAGCAAGTACTCAAAACCATTTTTTTCCAGAACTCCCCAATCACTACAGCACAGAACAATACCTCTCATGTAGTGGGTACTTAATATTTGCTGATTAACTGTTAACTCACTATTTTCATTACCTATCTTTATTCATTAGGGAGTTCTGCTGGCCTAGTAAGTAAGGAGTTGTGCTGACAACCCAAAGGTATGCAGTTTGAATTCACCAGCTGCTCCAAGAAACAAAGATGGAAAATCTCCTCCTGTGCAAATTTACAGCCTCTGAAAACCCAGTCAGCTATGAGTCAGTGACAAGTCAATGGCACATTAATCTTTATGATGCTTTTCCAATCTTCCAACTTAAGCCACCATGAAACGCACTGGATGTAGTCACAAGAACAAATCAGTATTTGAAAGCACACAAATTAATACTTTAAATCTCACAGGATGAACTCACACCTATCAGCAAACTTATTTTTCTCTAACCAAAAACTAACATGAATGAGTAAACAAAACCCAATGAAGAACAGAGCAGACTCCCCAAAGGTAACTCAATTTCTTATTCGTCTCTGCCCATCCTGTGGTGAAACTTCTGCTAATGCTAGCCATATAGTTTCATACTTTCAGTTACATGTTACTCACTTCAGTGAGTATTCACTCTACACAACTGACAATATTCCAAAAACTAACAATATTCTAAAAGGCAAAATGGTACACACAAACAGGTGAAGATTTCTGGCAGCACCCCCCTCCCCACATTCTTATCGGTATGCGTGTAATTATCCATATATACTGTGTTTCATTCATGTACATAGTGGGGGGGTTTGGGGGTTGGTTTTTTTGTTTGTTTGTTTCACTTTACTTCACTGACAGTATGTTCCATACAATCATGCCCAAACACTTTGTTTTATAAAATTACTCACCAGTGGAGCATGCCCACCAATGCCCCATCTTTTCAGGTCCCCACCTGATCCTTCCCATTTCCTTGACCCCTTCTCTCTACTCACCAAATTGTGCGACCCTCTGATTTCCCTGTTCCATGGAGATTTTTGTTGGTTTTGTAAGCACTAGCATTCAATTCCTTCAAATTTCAACTTTACTTAAAAGAGAAGTTAACATTTCCTGAAAAGTTACTATATATTTGTGTGAAATGCACCAAACTGTATTGTATCATTGGATCTTTACTATCCTGAAAAACTGATAATAATCTAGTTTACACAGCCAAGGAGATTAGCTATTTCAGGTGTAATTAATATATACACTGAAGCTGGGGTAAAACTCAGTTATTTCAAAGTCAATACTTTTTATAAACATTCTGACTTTATTAAAAAATGAGTTAAAAATATCAGCCACCAAGGAGGCATAAAAATCACTATCACATGCAAATAAAATTTACCTAAATCACGTACCTAAGGCTACCTGAAATACTAGTCGTATCATAAACTTGCATTATTAGGACATTTCACATCCTTCCCTAGATCTGTTTCCACTGCACAAGTCTGCAAATGCAATACAAACGTTCTAGACTTCAGCTCACTCTCAAGTTGTATCGTTTTTGTTCTTTTCACCTATCGATTTTATTCAGATGTATTCCAGTCAAGTGACGTATAAATCAGATTTTTATAAACAAATCAGAGCTTTGGTTAACTCCAAGAATAGTAAGCATAAAACTCTTGTTCTCAGGTTCTCAGATAATCAGAGATAACCAGAGAGGTGCCCATAGGATTTTGAACTCTACCTCCTTTTAGAAGCTATGAAATTATAATTAAACTGCATATCCAAGAATAGGACAGTATGATTAATGGAAGTTGGGCAAAGGGAAAAATTACTTATTACTGAAGATCTTTTTTAAGACTAGTCCATTGTCTTGTCCTACTATGAAATGCATTTTACAATGAGATAGGAACAAAATTAACTTTCTCTCATTACTTGAGGATCTTGCAGTGTCCAAAAGTCATCTGAACATCCATCCTAAACGTTAAGAGGTGACTTATGTAGCATAAGGTGAACTGGTGTCAACTCTAGGACCTACCCTGCAAGCTGCATACTGAGTAATCCTTGGTATTACTGTTTCCTCGGGTGCTTCCTTTTCCTAAAAGACAGTAAAGAAAAAGATTTTAATTACTGTTTTAAATCTGCCTGAAATACAAAGCTGAGATTAAATAAGAGTACACAAACGACTGTGTTCCTAGTGGCTTCTTGTTAAGTGAAATGAAGTCAGCGAGGACACACAGCAACACCATGAACGACGGGTCCCAATCTCGCCCTGCCCTGCTCACCATCTCTGATCCGCTCAAGCCCACATTTACGAACTCCACGTCAGTCCAGCTTGTTGAGGGTCTTCCTCTCTTTCCCTGACCCTCCCCCTTTTCCAGCATGATGTCTCTTCACGAGGACTGGACCCTCCAGACAACACCCCCAAAGTCTAGGGGGTGAAGTTTCACCGCCCCTCAACTCTACGGAGCATCCTGGCTGCATTTCCTTTTGGCGGTCCACGGGATATTCAGGAGTCTGCAGAGAGGCTTAGTCACCCTCCATCAATGACAACTGCTTCAAGAAAACTTACTAAATAAGAATTTCACAATGAACAGGTACGAAGAGATGTTTTTCCCTCCGGGCAGACAGCTCAGAAAGGCCTCCAGTGACTGACTCAGGGGGGAAGGAAGGGAAATGATGATGAGCAATGTGCTCACCGTTTGTTAAATGTGTCCTGGGTAACGGGCCCTGAACACACCCTTCACTGGATCCTCACTGTCCGATCCCTACACTGAGGCTCGGCTTTCCTCAAGAGCACTGGTACCAGAGCTGCAAGAACCGTTAACTGTGAAGGCAGAGAATGTGAGGCGACCACCAGGATGTGAATCCACGGCCCAGGGTCACGCCAGCAATGGAGGGAGTGCTGCCCGACTTTTTGCTGCACAGAAAGAGCGCACAGATAACTCACAGACCACACTCACACCGCTGCTGTCTGGCCACCACAGAACCGATGCAAGTTCACGGCAACATCATGGGTGCAGAGCAGAGCCACTTCTTAACAGTTTCAAGGCTGTGACATATCTGCAGCGGGTTGCAAGGCCCTGCTTCCTGGGCACCTCTGGCTGGGTTTATCTGCTACTCCAGCATGCAAATAACTTGTGTCAGCCACACCCAGTGCAGCTCTCAGCAATCCTACAGGACAGAGCGGAGTTGCCCGCAAGGGTTTCCAAGGCTGTAAATCTCTGCAGACTCAGATTATCTATCACATCTTTTTCCTGCTGGGGTGGGCTGCCAGGTCTGAAGTCCACAGAGCCACAGGGTTGTGGAGAAAGGCTAGCCTTTCCATTAGCATCCGATTAAGTTAACCAGTTGCCTCAAGGCAATTTACACTAAAAAGGGCTTGTATTGGAGTAATCATTAAGCCCAAACTCAAGTTAGTTTGGGAGAAAAGGCATAAAAAGGGACTATCTTGGAAGCTCTGGTAGTCCAATGGGGAAAAGGCACATGACAATCCCAAAGGCACGCAGTCCACCAGCTGCTCCATGGGAAAAGGACGGCCAATTTTCTCTCATGCGATTTACAGTCTCTAAAAACCTACTGGAAGGGTCAGCCATGGGTTGGTTCTCACTCGATGGCACATAACAACAGGTAAGAAGTGAGAGGAGAAGATGGGCAGTCTCCTGTGAGAGGTAAAGCCTCAGAAACCCAGTGGTGGGTCAGCCTGCGGTGGTTCTGACCCGCCAGCAATGAGCAGAGGGGAAGGTGATGAGGAACAACTAGACGGCTCCACAGCACAGTCAGCCTGGAGAAGCCCTGCACAGGCGCAGCTGGGGCCCAGAACAGGCTGCCAACTTGAGCCCTCAGTCGAAGGAGGACGCGGCAGCTCCTTCCACTCTCTCTGCCTGCTTTCCTACCAGCAGCCCTCATTCCAGTCACAGGCTCTGAGGCCAAGAAGTGTAGTAGTGCTGTGATTGAGCACTGGTTCTGAGGTACAATGGCTAGATACGAATCCCAGCTCCAAAAATCACAATCCAAAACACTACCCTTCCTGAAGGTTCCTCAACCTCTCAAGCTGTCCGGTTTTCTCACCATAAAAACGTAACAAATGAGGATTAAGCTGAGTTAACCCAAGTGAAATATGTGGAAGACAGTTTGGCACACAAGTAAGCATTCAATAAATACTTGCTATCAGCCAGCACTCCCTTCACTGTTATATGTATATATGATTGGGTATACTCTCTCGTCCAGCAGACAATTTTCATTTTCTACCCTCTTTCACAAGAATGGATTTACTTAACTATTATCTTCCCCCCCCTCAGAGAAAGTGTTATTCAGTTTCAAAAAATGTATCAAATGGAAAGTGAGTGCAGTCAAGATTGTAAGAAAAAGAAAATAGTATCTTCTAGCTGGGCATCAGATGTCTGACGATTTTTAAACTAAGCATCCCACAAAACCCAAGCATTTACTTTTAAAATGATAGATGACTATCAACTTTGCCCTCTCAGAAACCACTGAAGATCCTTTTCCTTATGTTCTCATCGAAGTAATACATTTGGAAAATACAGAATAGGAAAAAGAAGGGGGGGGGAGAATGGCAGCCACAGTCCTCCCACCGAAGCTCTGTCCTAGCAACATCTCAGTGGCCTTTCTGCAAATACTAACTTGCAGCTGCTGCTTCACTTTGTTTTACAATCTGCCCATTCTGCATACAACCTTCCATTCTGCATCATATTTTCAACTGACACACACTTTCCTTTAGCATTTGTGTTTCACTTATGAGAGTATTATCTGCTTAGAGTAGGAAAAAGATCATTTCAATGTATGGATTAGCAAAAAAATAATTTCTTAATCCTACCCTCTTTGGTAGCAATCAGCATTCTAGTACACACTTCCAAATTATTTTCTAAACATAATATATGCCCAAGGACATATTTTTTCTACTACTGGGAAGACACACAGTATTTTTAAACTATATTCTAAACCTTGCTCTCCAAAACCAAGTTAATACATGGTTACTGTATCGACCGGTCCCTCCAAAAAAGGACAAGCCATTTCCTTCCATGTGATTTACCGCCTTGGAAACCCATCAGAGGGTCAGCTATGAGTGGATTCCTAGTCACAAGTCTGAGTTAACTTTTGGAAAAACTAGAAAAAGAAGATCATGTATAATTTCACCCAGAATGGCCAGGTCTGAGTGTGTATTTATGCTGGTTGTTATGGATTGCAGAGACGGAAACAACCCACAGCTTAACCCCCTGGTGAGTATTTTAGAGGAAGTTAATCGTGTGAAAGGAGACTGCCCATCCTCCTGAGGAACAGCTGGTGGCCTCGAACCATGTGCCTCCAGGATTGCAGTGCAGCTTCTTGCCACAGGGCCACCAGAGCTCCCTGTACTTATGCCTACTCTTCTTTAAAAACCTATGATGCTGAACATGAAATGCGGTAATATCTTTTTCCTCCGCTTTAGAGGATGAACTATGTACTAAAGTTATTCTGTATCAGGACTCTGAATGACTTCATTGCTAAGATGATTATCATTTTTTAAACATCAAACCACTGAAGACAGGCTATTCTAAAGCAACCTTCTTAGTCATTCTCACAGTGAGGCTTGGACCTCCATGCAGCAGGCTGGTCAGCCAAGAGTGTTTACAATATGGAAATTCATGTCTGGGAAAAAATAGAGGCACATGTTGCAAGACTACACTGATGGCCTCCTCACTCAAGAGTGCAGAGGCAACTGCAGCAGGAGGGTGTGGCTGGAGAAAAGGAAGGAAGTGTGGGTGGCCCTGCACACATTTTGCAAACTGCTGAAAACAGCTGCAGAAAGAGCCTCTTAAACCTACTGTCAATTTGTAATGCACCCTGTTATTCTTGTCTAAACTCACTGTGAGCTTTTCACTGGCATCACCACCAGCATCGCCTGGCCTGGAGATCAAACCACTCACGCTCCTCCCAGAAGTCGGGACAAAGCCACCTGCTCAAGGCAGGTAACTGCCTGGATACCACTGTGGGTCAGTTAGGTGGGCAAATTAGGCTCCTTCTACAGTCCCTCTCAGCTTTGTCTGGAATAATTTCAAAAAGAATAGGTGAATGCCTTGATTGTTCTTCAAAATCACATAATCAATATTCAAATACATAAACATTTTCCAGAAAAAAATAAGATAAAATGAATGCTCTAGAATCTAGGCCAATATGCTCCTACTAATACCAGTTAAATGGTGGGGTTCTGCAAAGTTGCAATAAAACTGTATGTAAGCTTCTTAAGCACAGAAACTATCTGGTTGCTTTTATAATCACCAAGAAATTAAAGCTTTAATTCTTACAGGAAATATCAAAACAAACTAACCTTATGTTTACAGAAAATCTAACTCACATTTCCATTATTAAATTTATATTATTCATTTGATATTAATAAGATAATTAATTACTGCCCTAAACTTACCCCTAAAATGAAAATGGGGCTAGCTGAAAAGGAGACAGTGAAATAAATTCTCAAGGAATACTGATACTCTCCAAGTTCAAAACATAAACAAACACAGCCGTACTATGCAGTCAATACTACCGCACCTCATTCTTCAAAGTAAACACCATTCCACATTTCTAGAAGGAGCTGCTCCTCGTGGAGTTATCAATATAAGTAAGTTATGAAGCAAAGAAACCACCAACAGGTCCACAGATCCAAGGCTTTCACAGCAGCACCCAAGCATCTCACTGGATTGGGCGAATAGCACTACGGGGTTGTACAGGATCGGTCTGACATGACTGGGTACAAACGAAATGGGAGTGAAAAATTCTTACAGTGAGTAATTTATTATCAGACCTGCTCTAATATGTAAACTGGTCCTTTTGAAACTCTAGGAATGACTTATCAGAGGCAACTACCTGCCAGACTCGAACTGTGAGGCTGGAGTCACCCAGGAGAAGATTCTCCACCTCTCCCCTTCGGAGCAGCTGGGGGATTCAAACCACCAGAGCAGCAGAGCTTTCTGGTTAGCACGGCACCGCTGTATGGGCTAACTGGAGTACGTTCTGCACGTGTTCTTCCAAGCAGCCATCTGATTTCAACTGACATGAGGCTGCTAGTGGGACAGGCCACACCAGGGTAATAATCCTGCTCC